GTTCTCATGTGAACGTCATTTCTGTTTGAACAGTAGCATTGACGAATAGAGTTGTTTCCTTGTAAGAAAACCCTGTAGCAGCTTGAATGACCAAAACAGGAGACTGTCTCCTATGGATGGGTTGTGCATGACTTGCTTCATTCAAGGGGAAGGCCCATTCAATGCTGCATCTCCTGGGGTTCCCACCATCTCAAAGGACATAAGATTGCCTCTGTGATATGTTCCTTATAATTCTAGAACTACTTAACACCATTTTAAAAGATACCTTACAGTGTCTGCGTGCACTTCTTACTGGGATCATAACCAACAAGCACCTCCTGGTGAAAAAAACACTCTCTCAGCACCCTTGGATGCAACCCCTCCACTCCCCTGGACTGGTAAGGGTGTAGTTTGCTCAAGTAACCCCTGGCTTGATCCCCATCCAACGCTGGTTGTTCTTCTCCAGAGTCCAGCCTTAAAGCAAAAAGGTCTGGGAGATCTTGCTGGTGGTACTGAGGCTGACAGGACATACAGTATCTCAGATTTTCACATGCCTGCTCTTGATAAATTCAACAGTGGTCCCGCATTCTCTCAGCTTCTTGAGCTGTCACTGATGAAGCAAAATATCATCTTGGTGCCCTTGCATTTCTTCTCAGGTATAAACTGCATTTTGATGTGGACCATTGTTGTGCTTGGAGGATGCTGTCCTTGAAGAAAAGATGTATCCAGGTACCCTGTACTGTGGTACATGGCTGCGTCAGTTCACACGAATAGCTCTAAATGCAGCTGTGACTATGACGAGTACGACAATGTTCTTTTGGCCTCTCTTTGAGGGTTTGCTGTCATTAACTTCATCAAAGGAATTTCCCACCAGACTCATACATGATGCCTGAGATGTTGCCCTGTCTCTATGAACTTTTCCATTACAGCTTGCAGGTATCTGCATGCACCTTGGAGCATCTCTGGACATTAAAATGTCACCAGGTATTTGCATCTGAACACCTCACACCTGTCTTCCATCTCTGTCACACTCACATACAGGTGTCTGTTTCGTGTACACCTGAACAGAAGCAAGAGGAACCCCACCTCCTGAGGGTTTGTGGCAGGCATGGGAGGGAACTGAGTCTCCTCCCAATGCTAGGTAGAGAAACACATGATGAAATGCCTCCACTGACTCAGCTGAATCCCTTCCCTGGGGAAGCCTTGGGCTGGTCCTCTGCTGCTGAGCTGGGCTGGGCTCCTGGCATGGAGGGAGCTCATGGCAAGTGGGCAGCGCTGCAGAGAGACAGCTGTGCTCAGGAGCAGCTCCTCTGCAAAGCCCAGCAGGGCTGAGGGCACTGCCTGCAGGCACAAAGGGGAGAGGAGGGAGTAAGAGAGAGCTCAAATTCAAATCAAGAGCAGAGGAGGGGAGTAAGAGAGAAGTTAAAGGCAGCCTGGAGTGGGAGAAGAGAGGAGAGCTCAGCTGGAGAAAAATTTCCACAGCCTTTACCAGGGTAAGTCTCTGGCTGCAGGGCAATGCAGCTGCGGTTCCTGCAATGATCTCCTAAAGCTGGCACATCCCACAGCCTTTGGGATCAATCAGGAGGACTCTTGCAGTTTCCTGAGCATAGAGAAAAAGGACGTGCTTTGGAGCAGGGCTTCCTCCTGCACCACCAGAGGGACAGCGCATATCAGCTGTCTTCAGGAGGGGATGATCGCTGTGTATGAAGCTGAGTGAGCAACAAGGGGTGCCCAGATCCATCCTTCCAAGCAAGGAACCTGCAACAAAGGGGGGCAGAGGCTTTGTCTCCTGCCAGGGTCAGCACTCTGCCTGCCCAGGGAGCTGCCCACAGCAGTGCAGGCAGAAGCAGTGGGTGGTAGAATCAACTCCTGGCATTAGAGACTGTCCTTCTGTCAAGAGGGTGCTGCGTGAGTCAGGACTGCTCACAGCTAAGGATCATCCCAGGACTTTTCCTTTTCAATCCGAAGGTCAAGGCAGGGATTACTATAAAGGTAAACAGCTTTCCTAAGTCTGTGTTGTCAGTTTCCTGCTCCTGGGAGATTTGGGGGGAGAAATGGAAAAGCAGATTCAGTGCTTGAACAAGCCATTGAGACTCTCGAGCTGTAACCCTGCAAGGAAAACCCTCTTAGAAGGAAAATATCCAGGCAGCATGGGAATTACCAGGGAACGAGAGGAAACACAAATTTAAAATATTTTTTGAGGGACATAAAAAATCCTCCCCTCTCTCCAATGCAGAGTCTATTCTCTAAGCAAAACCCTCCCCTCCTCTCCCATCCAGCAAAGCCTCTGCCCTCAGGGTGATGGGGTCCAAGGCGTGACCCCCCTCCTCTACAGTCAGAGTTCCAGCAGAGCCGTGCTGCAGCTCTCCAGCCACGGGCCCAGTTCCCTCTGCAGAGCACAGGGGCTGAGAGCAGCTGCCCAGCAATGTTGGGGTCTGGGAGGTGGTGTGCACAGCTGGGTCAGGGGAATGCTGTCCTGAGTGCCCACCTGCCTCTGCCCTTGCCTCTCTGAGCCAGACACTCACAAATATTTCCCTCGTCTCTCCACTTGTCTGTGTCTTTGTTGTGATTTTGCTGTTCTTGCTGTCAGGCTCTCTTGGGGTTGGAGTTCGTCTCTCCACTTGTCTGTGTCTTTGTTGTGATTTTGCTGTTCTTGCTGTCAGGCTCTCTTGGGGTTGGAGTTTCAGCTGCAGAGTCACACACTGATCTTGTGGGTCCTTTCATGGAGCTGTGTCCATGGGAATAAGTGTCCCAGGTTTTCTCGCACTTGTGGAGATCTGGTCAATACAGTCTGCACGGCTGGGATAGGAGCTGACCATACTGAGATGCCATCACTAGGACACTTGGTTATCTCCTAGAGCTGTGAGCTGCCTGCAGCGTGCATACCTGTCCCGTAGCACCTCTGATTTATCTTAAAGCCCCATGGAGAACGCAAAGCCTCTGCAACTGAGGAAATGCTGTTGGTTTGGTGAAAGCAGCCATGCTTTCATGTGTGTCATTGGCTACACATGGGGTGCTGAGACCTAGAGAAAGACCTTTTGTGGTCTGCAGTTGATCCCTCTGCTCTCAGCAGTGTCTGGTGGTTTTTCAGGGTAGCATGGGAGTGTGATCACCCTCCTTCTGAGAAAGGTGCCAGCCCAGGGCAACTGGGAGGAAGTAAGCAGGACATACCAGCTCCCCTCAGCCTGCACTGAAGCACAGGAATTCCTCTTGAATTGCAAGAAACATTGTGTTCTCCCTGAGTGCAACAGAAATGCTGAGGGTTCCTGACATTCAAGCACACCCTCCTGCTGAGACGGGGGCACCTGTTAAAAACCCCAGGTCTCTCCAAGTCTCTTCTGTCATCTTGGTTCCTTAGTACTGGGAATTCAGATGCTCACAAGCCCTTCTGTGTTAGGAGCAGTTTAATCTGCAAAAGTCAAACACCAGGTCCATGAACACAGTGCTGCAGAGCAGGGCTGACTCCTCAGCAGGCAGCAGGCAGAGGCCCTGCTCCTCACAGCAGATTCAGCCACCACCAGCCAGGGCCACAGCCCTGGATTTGAGGAAGGTCTACAAAAGGAAAAAGAGTTGTGTGAAGCAGGAAGAGGGTGTTTGAGAAATGGCTTTGATTTTTCAGAGAGAAGTCTTCACTAATTTGTCACTGTCTTTTCCTCCTTGGACAGTGCCCAATGCCCACAGACATTTTCTGAACGGCAGCTCCATCACTGAGTTCCCCCTCCTGGCATTCACAAACACATGGGAGCTGCAGCTCTTGCACTTCTGGCTCTTTCTGGGCATCTACCTGGCTGCCCTCCTGGGCAATAGAATCGTCATCACTGCCATAGCCTGCGACCACCGCCTCCACACCCCCATGTACTTCTTCCTCCTCAATCTCTCCCTCCTCTACCAGGGCTGCATATCCACTACTATCTTTTCTTCATCTCTGCTGAATCACAGCTTGAATTACCTCCTTGACAGAGGGACCCATGATTAAGAAAAACTCCTGAGTGCTCATCTGCTTGTCCCTGTATGGCGTCCATTAACAGGAGGATTGGGAAATTACTCCATTTCTCCCCTCCTCTGCATGCTGCCTTTGTTCCCAGCTAAGGTGGGAGCTCTGGGCAATGCTGTTTGCATGGCTCAGGGAGGCAACTCCCCATTCAGGACATGGATCTTCTGGACATTTCCTTATTTCCCTGGGAGGTCCTGCTGGGCTGCAGGGTGTCTTCCAGAAGGGCACAGCTCTCCCCTGCCATCTCTGTGTTACCTCGCAGCCCCTCAGTACTGAGGCCATGGAAATGCTGCTGGAAGGCTGTGTGCAAGCAGATGTGATGAGACCTCTTTGTCCCTGGCATGGAGGGCAGAGCTGAACTCCTCCTCGGGTAGGATGAGACAGTATGAGGAGTTTGGAGATGTGCCCTTGGAGACTGGATTCACCTGCTCTGAGCATTGTCCAGCTTCTTCTGAGGGGAACCTCTGGGTGCAATCGCCCTCCAGCTCAAAGAGGTGACAGCCTAGGGCAGCTGAGACCAGGGCTGATGGACAGACCAACTGTCCTCACTCTGCACGAAGGGATAGTCCCTGTGCCTCACAAGAACCAAGAGATTTTTCTTGGACACAATGAAAAATGCAAAAGATTTTTGCATTAAAAATACCATGCACTGTGGTGATCAGCCTAGAACAAATAACTAAAACCAAATGCCCACAGCTCTGCTCTGCAGCTCAGTGAAGTGGAAGTGATAGTGCTGAAAAGCTCCTTAATACCATGAGTGGTTTTTATTTAACATCACTTCCAGTTCCAATGTTGTAGGGCAGAACAGATTCCCCCAGAACCCACAGCACAGCCCTCTGCTCTCTGGGGCATCCTAAGCCAGCACGCACCAGAGCTCACAGACAAAGTTCTTTCTGAAAGGGGAAAGGTGATCTGGGGGGTTTCCATGAGAAGTGGAATAGGTTTTGCTGTGAGATGTAGGGTAGACTACCCTAACTTGTCACTGCCTCTTCCTCCTTGGACAGGTCCAAATGCCTAGTGGAAGCAAATGTCCAACAGCAGCTCCTTCACTGAATTCCTCCTCCTGGCATTCGCAGACACACGGGAGCTGCAGCTCTTGCACTTCTGGCTTTTCCTGGGCATCTACCTGGCTGCCCTCGTGGGCAACAGCCTCATCATCACTGCCATAGCCTGTGACCACCACCTCCACACCCCCATGTACTTCTTCCTCCTCAACCTCTCCTTCCTAGACCTGGGCTCCATCTCCACCACTGTCCCCAAAGCCATGGCCAATTCCCTGTGGGACATCAGGGCCATCTCCTACTTGGGATGTGCTACACAGGTCTTTTTTTTCTTCTTCTTGTTCACAGCAGAGTATTCTCTCCTCACTGTCATGGCCTATGACCGATACCTTGCTATCTGCAAACCCCTGCACTATGGGACCCTCCTGGGCAGCAGAGCTTGTGTCCACATGGCAGCAGCTGCCTGGGGCAGTGGGTTCCTCTATGCTCTGCTGCACACTGCCAATATTTTTTCACTGCCCCTCTGCCACGGAAATGTCGTGGAAACGTTCTTCTGTGAAATCCCCCAGATCCTCAAGCTTTCCTGCTCAGACTCTGACTACCTCAGGGAAGTTGGACTCTTTGTTACTGGTTCCTTTTTCGGTTTGGGGTGTTTTATTTTCGTTGTTGTGTCCTACGTGCAGATCTTCAGGGTTCTGCTGAGGATCCCCTCAGAGAACGGATGGCACAAAGCCTTCTCCATGTGCCTGCCTCACATGGCCGTGCTCTCAGTCTTTATCAGTACTGGCATGTTTGCCTATCTGAAACCCCCCTCCTTCTTTTCCCCAGCCATCGATCTAGTGGTTGCAATCCTTTACGCGGTGCTGCCTCCAGTAGTGAACCCCCTCATCTACAGCATGAGGAACCAGGAGCTGAAGAAAGCAGTGTGGAGACTGATGACTGGATGCTTTTTAGAAGCAACAAACTGGTCGTAATCTGTTGCATATCACTCATAAGTTATTACTCCCCCAAATATTCTTCTTCTTTTGGTTTTGTTTTACTGGAGATACTACTGCCGAGCAAGAAATGCCATTTTGCATCCCACATCAGGATCTACCTTTCCTGTCTGATTCAGAGAGTACGTAAATCAGGAGCTGTGACCTTCGTGCATTTTAAAAAGGTGAACTACCCTCCTGTGAGGTTTTCCTGAGATCAGAGAGGCTCTGGGGTACGCAGAAAAAGCAGAGATTAAAACTGTCAATGAAGGGCAGGAAGGAGAATTAGGAGAATTACAGGCTGGTCAACCCAACCTCTGTTCCTGGGAAGGTGATGGAGCAAGTCCTCCTGCAGCCATTTCCACACACTTACAGGAGAAGGAAGGGATTGCTGAACTCATATGGGTAGGGGAAAGACGGGGATGTTTTCTACCCGGACCTTAGCAAATGCTTTACCTGGCATCCCATAATCTCCTTATAAGCAGATTTGGCCAAGACTGTTGAATGTCTTTAGGAACTCCCTGTATAATGTGGTGGAGTGGATTTTCAGCTCATTTGTGGATGATGCCAAATTGGGCAGAGACCTTGAGCGACCTCATCATGTTATCCTGCCTTGAGCAGGATAGCCAGGCAAGATGATGTTCAGAGGTCTCTTGCAACCTGAGTTATTCTATGATTCATTGAATTCTTCACTTGGAGAGCAGTTTGAAGACAGAGTATAGAGAGGGAAAAGACAAAGCAGAAACAGAAGTAGAGATATAAAATACACCAAGACAATTACAGCAGTTCCTCTGAGGACCATTTCTCCACTCAAAACCATGTTAGGAAAGCGATTAGATGAATTTCGTGAAACAAGTTTACTTTTATGTTGTCAGTTACTGGGCCATAAGTATTGTGATAATTGGGTATGGTATCATGTGGTCAGTTGTGTCTCAGGAACACATAATCCAGTAAGAAGCCAATGGCTGTGAAGGGGCCTGTGAGGATCTTTGTGCCTCCAGAATATGGCTGAGAAAGCAACTGTGAGGTCGCTTGCTTCTGAAATAGATGACTCATGACTGGGACGTGCTTTGAAGCTGCCATCTGCCAGCACCTCTGACAGGCCAGCAGAAGGCACCTGGCTGGCACTTTGACTGGGAGATGCCCTCTGCCGAAGGATCTAGGCTCACTACAGGAAGGGGACTCAGATTTTGCTTGGCATGTCTCTCCTGCCTAAGTACTTAACGGGATATCAGCAAGCACACGCCTTGGTCGTGTCTATCCAAGAAGATGAAACGGCTAACGGCCTTGGGAGATCATTTTGAGGTTACTTCTGTCTGGTCAAGTGAAAGACCACAAGAAGGCTGATGAGTTGGGATGCCTGCCAGAAGGGTTGTTTCCAATATGGTTGTAGGAAACAGCAGAGGAGATAAACACTGCCACACAGTGGACTGGACACGAGGAGGAAGAAATGTCACTTAAATTGTAGTGCTGTGGTACCAGAAGTCATCCAGAAGGAGTATGAGATCAGTCCATGTCTTTGTGTTTCAAGGAACAGAGGGTGATGGTGGACAGATGTCAGTGAATGTATGGATATGCCAGAGTGAGAGCAAGGTGGGGAAGCGAGATGGGTGTCTACAGCCTGCAGGAAAATGGAAGGCACTGTAGGACAGTGTAGGGCAACCTGTGGTGGAGGTGTCAAAGGGTGCTAGCTAAAGCTGGAGGTCACAAAGAAAATCCAAGTCTTTGTCCCCTTGGTTATGGCAGCTGCCTCTGTCAGTAAGTCCTCGGAAGAGACCCATTGTCCTAAGGCACAGGGGCCTCACGGCCTCCTTGCACAACCCCGCTAGGGCTGGGAACTGTCATACCACTGTCCTTCACTCGGCATCACACACCCCACAGCCCTCTGCCCTCCAACAGCCCTGAGCAAAGCGTGAAGGACAGGATCTGCCTTCCCAGGGCTGGTCATTCTGCTTCATGAGACAAACCCAGCATTTTCTCAGCACCTGAGCTACCTGCACATCACCTTTGCCTACTGCAATCACGGCCTCCGATTATCAGTTCTAACGAGTCCCCGGGGAGGCTTTGTTGGTAACCTCCATGGGACTCATTATTACTTTAAAGTACTTTAAGCTTTGTTTTTTATGCTGAGTCTTTGAGAGGTTTGTGCAATCTCCTCTCAGTACCCAAGGTTCAAGGACTCAGCACCAAATACACCATGGGGCTCGTTAAATTAAAGCAAGCCCTGACCAGCCATGTCTCTTCCTGGAGTTTTTTTAAGTCTTCAAGAGTTGTACTGGTAATGAGAGCTGTTTCCTAGGGTAGTGATGGAGAAAGATTTCAAAGAGCTTCTAATAAAAATGAGGTGTTTTTTTCAAAACACAGGCAGATTTTATGACTTTTGAATTTAGAGAAGAGGTGATGGCAGCATTCTCCAACAGGTGTTGATACAGGGTGTCTCCTCAGAAAGTCTGGACAGGCTGAATAAGAGGTACCTTGAGGTATGACACTGTATGGACAATGCTCACCTCATATCCCCAACCCCGCCTTTTCTCTCAGTGGCCACCTGGGACTTTCCCTTACACCAGACTTCTCCGCTGCAGTCTGCAGTTGGATGTTACAGCTCCTTTGTACCAAATCCCACCGGCTTTCCTTAGGCAATGGCAGAGAGGCACAGATTTGTTTTCCTCTTTGCAAGCAAAGAAAAGTGAACCATGTCAAGTTTCATCAGCAGTAAAACATTCTGCAAACCTATGAGATATTCTGCGACTCTATGGTTTATTCCTTCAGATTCCTCCCAGCTTGCCAGCTGCTGCTTTTTTGAGCTTCAGAGATTTATAAGCTTTCCTTTCTTTCAAAGGACTAATTGTCTCCTTCAGAATCACAGAATCACAGAATGTTAGGGGTTGGAAGGGACCTTTGTGGGTCATCTATTCCAACCCCCCTGCTGAAGCAGGGTCACCCATAGCAGGCTGCACAGGACCTTGTCCAGGCTGGTCTTGAATACCTCCAGAGAAGGAGACTCCACAACCTCCCTGGGCAGCCTGTGGGAATTGTTTAGTCACATAACAAGGAGAAGGGGAGGTGGGAAGAAAAAAGGTTTTGATTTCCTGAAAAAAACCAGCTCTACAATAATTACAATCTAGTTAAACCATTCATAATAATAGTCTTATGCCTGCAGTGTCTCAGGGTTAAAGCATTTGATCGAAAGGCCAAACACGTCAGCATACTATTACTGGCAGCTGGGTCATCGGGAAAAATACAGCTCCCAGTCTTCATATGCGCAAAGGACCTGCCACAGTTACAGTCTGTTTGTAGGAACATAAAACTGTCACCACCTTTGAATGTAGTGCAAATTTTCTCTTTCTGTTTGTTTCTTAGTATGTTTTGAGACGTCTAATATTTGCAAAGGATGCTATGCTCTTTGTTTGTGTGAGAGAAGGCTGATGGGACTTTCAGGACTAATTCAGAGACAATGGCAGTAAATCCCAGCAGCGACAGAGGCTTCTTTTGTTCCATATTTGCTTCACCAGTTCCTATACAACATAACTCCTGTATTTGATGTTTCTTGGCTATACTAGTTCTCCCTTTCTCCACATGATACCTTTTATGAGTGTTTCACTCAGGTGTGTTCCCTTTCATTCTGCAGGAAGCCAAGAATTTAAACAGCATTTTGATATCCTATGACACACTTGTATACTGGGCGTTCAAGTTAGGTATTGCAATGCTAAATTTTAATTGATTTCTGAGTCTAGCTTAGAGTTTCTTCATATAATCTTTACTAGCAAACATGAGGAACATGCAGAAACAATTTATTAGAAAAGCATGGATCCCCTTGATGTACAGTGGATCCAGTGATAAGCAAAACCAAGCAATCATTGTATTTTTCCTGGTTTTAGTTTATTCCTGTGTTACTCAAAAATTACTTTTTCCTCTTCCATGAGGTCTTCAAATATAACTGAATGTAGGTCTCACATCACCTTTCCAAGGAGGCCAGATATGAGCGGCTCTTATATGTATCCTCTTCCACACAGAATATATGCTATGATCGCTGCTTTTCTTCTCTACGTTTAATGAGCCAGTATTCATCTGTTTTCACTCATGCTTCCTATTAAAAATGCGGTATTTTAAAAATGTCTATGTCATTGTTTACACTAAAAAGCTGAAGCTAAATGTGGTGGTGCAGCTCCCCTCCCTCACACCTGGCAATCTCAGAAGCAGCTAATTCTTTCTTGCGCTGCATGAATGGTTAGCTGGTGTGCGTTGGACTGGGACAACCGGGCACTTTCCCTGCTCTTCATACAAGAGCACTGAGTTGGGCCAATCAGGCGCTCCCTGACCACACCTGAAAGTCCTGATGCCTGGAGTCACACCTGCCTGGTAAGTGTCAGAACTGTGCATTCTGGGTAGTACTAGAATTGCATAGTTGCTGTCTAAATATCAGGATTGCATCATGTGGATTGTGACCAGGATGGAAAATTACTGGTGCCTAAAGTCAATCAGCTTGAGACCGTACAAACAGCAGTACCAAGGAAGGCCCTCTGAGCTCTTCTGGTCCACAGCGAGCTGTACCCAGTAACTGTCTCTGAGTGGGATGCATCTCAGAGTAACTCATGAACTATTTGGACTGATCAGACATGGCTACAGATTGGTAGATATGGCTACAGATTGGGCAGAAGTAGAATAGAGAACCTCATGCAAATAGCTGCATTATCAGGATGGAAAGTTCCCAGGGAACTAACGTCCGGGTAAAGATGCATAAAGCACTCCTTGAAAAATAAACTTTGTCTCACTTGCAACACAAGTGGAGTCCGAGCCGTCATATGTCACACCTGGACAGGCAGTGTTGTGTCATTGTGAGACCTCTCTCAAACACCTTGGAAAGGCCAGAGACATCAGAAAGGTTCTTGGGGTCTTGGAAAAGGCAGACATGACACTAGTCTTCAAAAAGGGCAGGAAGGAGGATCTGGAGAGTTGCAGACTGGTCAGCCTCGCTAGGGAAGGTGTTATGGCAAGTCATC